GGACTAGGTAAGGGCACGGTGGGCGACACATTGGGAGGGGGGGCGGGGGCGGGAATAAAATATGGGACATCACTCCATCTTGTCTCATCTCAACGTGTTCTCAAATCCTTGTTATACGGCTAAGAAGAATTTGGATTTGACCTATATTTGAACATTCTGAGTTTGAATCCAGAAATGATCCTTAAAGTCCAAAGCATTCTGGGATTCCAGCCTCTTGCCTCGCAGTCCAGTGGTATTGTTTCTTCGTGCTCACTGGTCCAGCCTTGAAAAAATCCCCTTTTCCCACGTTCGTAAAATATTATATATCACCAAAATACATTTAGGTTTTTGTCTTACCTGACAGTCGTCTTGATGGGCGGGAGACTGACCGACGACCTGTGACTCTCAGCACGCTCGATCTGGTTGTATTTGTCTCCCTTCAGAGAACGGCGTCGTTTGCTCCAAGCCACCGTTACCATGGCGACGACCAGAACGATGGCCACAGCTAGGGGCACGTAAATCACGTACGTCAGCATGAGCTCTGGGGAAACAGAACAAAGTCATCATCATCATCAAACAACTTCTCTCGTCATCATCATTATCATCATTATAATTTAAAAAACATAAATCATCGTCATTATCATCATCACCCGAGCAGTGAAAGAAGGGAAGCTAGCAGTCACTATGATTCCATAAAAGAAACACAGCAGAAGTCCACAATTTTCTTTCCGTTTCTACTGCCTTTTCCCCTGCAGTCTCCAATTGTTAAAAAAGCATAGAGTTGCACAGTTCTGTAGTTTGACAGCGTTGATATAATTCACGCAATTAGATATGTCCACATCGACACATGTTACCTCTTTTAGGAGGTGGTCTGCTTCAGATTCTGGTCTTCTTGTTGGGACCAACCCAGGCTGAGAGGAAAGTTTATTGGAAAGGACGCGTCAACTTTTTCATTCAAACACCATCACTTTCGTAGTAGATATTTTTCATAAATAACCACACTTTAAAAAAAACAACGAAGCAAGCAACCACAAAAAAGACAAAAAAGATCCAAAACAACAATTTTTATAAAAATCCAACCTGTATTTTGTTTGTCAGCAGTCTTAGATATTTTAAATCTGCAGTGCAATATCTTTTACCATTTACCTGATCCATGGAGTTTGTACCTTTGTATCACTTGCTCTTTTGGATATAATTTTGCATCCCTTGGAACCCTAATTTTTCCTACAAACACGATAGTTTACCGTATTCCAACTCGACATCGGTGCTAATAGTATACTCCCACGCAGTGTGAACTGACAATGTTGCAGCACTCTCGTCTGTAAGGAACAGCATCCCGTAACGTGCACCTTTTTGACGCCTTGTCAAGTGGATTTCTTAATTCGTTCGCGTCTAAGATTACACAACTGCAAATAGACCTAGCCAACGCCAGCTTTATTACTGGTTTAGAGTAGAGTAGGCGTTGGATCCAGCCCGCTCAGCCCAGGTGTCGTTCATACGTTACCAAACATCTCTTTAATAGTTTGCTCCATAATGGCACTTTCTCCATAATAAGAAGGTTGTTTTATTTTGTTTTCTTCCTTTTTTTCGTGACATTCCTAAACAATGGATGCCATCTAGTTAGTAAAACAAGGGAGATAAGAATGTTAGTCGTTTCCCTTTGAGGGGGAGGTTTTACTTAGTTGGGGGGGGGGGGAGTTTCCGTCTAAGGCGGATAGTTTGTTTTATAACTGTATTTTCCCACAAGATATACGCTGTTTGCTGAGTCCAGCTGCTTTGTTCCTATCATCACTAGTTCGCCTACTTCAGTGATTCGACTTTTCAACATATTATTATCATTTTAGTAAACGAATTTTTATTGATTATCAGAAAACGGGCAATTACCCTGGAGTTAATTTAACTCTCCCTGACGTATGTACCAGTAAGAACATAATTCTTAGATTTGTTTTATCTTTGGTGTTTGTGAAACTAGCAGAGATGTTCCTTTCTTTAGTTGAGAAGATCTTGACACCTCTGGGGGTGACTGTTGTGATGCTTTGGTTGATCGTATTGATGTGAAGAGAATTTTCCTTGACAATGTAGTTTGATTGTATTTTTTGATTTTGTGTTGCTGTTGTTATCGTTATTTTAGTTGTTATAGCCGTTATCACTGTTTTTCTTCATGGAAATAGTGCTCACACTTTCACGTGGTCATGCACAGCTGAAGCTGTTTTGTTTAGTCCGCCCCCCCCCTCCAAAAAAAAAGAGAAAAAGTCTCATTGGTTTCTTTGTCCACTACCCACTCTCCCCTTGCATACCTCCACCCCCACCCCCGCCCCCTTTCCCTCATCCGTGAAGGCCTAATGAAGGAAATATCTTTGCAATGCAGAGCGAATCGACGAGTAATTATAGGAAATCGTACAGATGTTGCTTAATGCTTGCTTCACGAAATCGATGTATGGCATCACAATATAGATACAAAGAGTCCATATTTGCAATTATTTGTGCTACAAAAAAAGCAACCGGGACACCGACGGCAATGCCATCAACAGCAACAACGGTGACACAACAGCATCAGCATCGACAGCAACGACAACGACAACGACAACAACAACATCAACTCAGTAGAACAGAATATTATGGCCATCAATTACCCACAAATTGTCTCTAGAGATCCAGTTATACCCACAAGCTTTGTTGCACTCTCCATTAAGCTTTGGATAGCCTTTGGGACCCGAGAAAGGGGCAACGGAGATTACTTGTCTTACAGATCATGATTTACAGGATTTAAAAATTAATGAACAATAATTTGATCTTAGAACGATGATGATGATGATGATGATGATGATGATGATGATGTTTATTTTTACAATTATTAACATCATTAATATCAATAACCATGTCAGACCATGAATACGTGACCAGGTTGAGAATATCTAATGTCTCCTATGAAGTTTCTGCACTATCTCGATTTTCACATTGCTTTGGTAAGCTCAGTTGGCATTATGCAGGACTACGTATCGGAAGGCCAAGATTCGAGTCTTTCGAATTTTCAAGACTCTCATCCCGTTTGGTCCGGTCTTATCGGAAACGGACATTAAATTCGGAGGTCCCGCCTCTCTGTGTTGATAGAAACGTTAAACCTATACACTTCTACTACTTACTAAGCTTTTATGGTATTTGATCAAATGTAAGTGGTCTTTTTTGCTACGCATTTACTTCAACAGTGGATGGCACTACTTGGGTCATCTCATTATGTAAAACTAGGATGACCATCGGTCAGCCACGAACAAGGTCGTTGACGATGCCATCATGGCCAAGTAATCGAATTAAGCTGTCTCGCGGAGCCTACATCAAATCAAGCAGAAGGGTATTAGGTCCTGGAGCCCAGAGGCTTTGTGGAGGGAAGAGTCTTTGTAGAGAGTGTGGTTGCGTGTTGTGGGATTAATGGCGTGCGTGTTTAATACTCAGTGCACACTGCCAATCGGATTCATTTGACTGAGTCGGGGCCAGGCAAATTGTCTTTCACGAACAAGATGAAAGCTAGATTTCACCACTGTGGCACAATACGAATGATTTTAACTTAACTCGATTATGGCCTTCAAAATCAAACACGTTAGCCTTTCAAACTCGTGAGTCGAATAGGTCGTATTCTGTCAAAGTATAGCGTTGTCGGTACCATAAAGGAAAAATTGGTCGTCCCTGACAGACACAATACATTTGATCGACAGTGTGCACTGGATTTAAGTGTAGTTTAGTTGTGTCTCTCCTGAGTTTTGTAAAGGAAAAGTAGAGAAGAGGTTTTAATTTCTTTTCCGCTTGCACGATGATTCTTTCAGGGTCTTAAAAAAGTGAGTTATAGCGTAATTTGATTGTTTTTCTTATTCCAGTTTTTCAAAATCGGGGAAAAAGCGAATACAGTCTTAGTTTTCTGTGTGAGTATGGCAGAAGGAAGGATGAGGGGTGAGATGAGGGAAGGAGTGATGACTCTAGAAGGAAAGATACATGAACACTGCGGCGATCAAGCGTTTGAGCATCAACATAATCTTTCTCTCTATCTCTGTCTCTCTCTCTCTCTCTCTCGTTCTCTCCCCCCTCTCTCTCTCTCTCTCTCTCTCTCTCTCTATATATATATATATATATATATATATATATATATCTTTCTCTCTCTTTCTCTCTCTCTCCTTTGTCTGCCTCTTTTTCCCTCTTCCCCATCTTTTTATTCATTTCACTCCTTCAATGTCTGTCTATTTCACTCTTTCTGTCTATATGTCTCTCTCCTTTCATCCATAAAGCTTCTGTCTTACTATTCCCTTAGACATGAACTGTCTGGGAGTATTTCTTAATTATTGAAGCCATTCTAATTCCAGTGGTAAGAAAGTAGGGGTGGGGGTGGAAGGTTGGGCAAGGGGTGTGTTTTTGTTGTTCTATTAAGATTACCCTTTTACTTATTTCTTGCTTTACTTATTGGGTTTTTTGGTCTCTTTGTATGTTTTTTATTTTGTTGTTTTGTTTGTTTGACTTTTTGATTGCTTTTGTTTGTTTGGACGTCTTTTGTTTCACAGAGATGGGAGTCGGGTTAAGGGCATGGTAGTGCAACTAAAACGATTGGCATTGTCTGTCTTAGTAACCCACTAGAGATCTCTCTGTACCTGTCAACTCTAATAACCTCAATAAAAAACGGTAGGAGCTCACCGCCCCCTTCCCCCCGATATTTCTCTCCACAAGCAATATAGCTTGATGGATCTACGGGGGAGGGAGTGTCGGCTTTTACGGGGGGGTGGGGTATTAACGTTGTGCAGCTACAAGTGCATTGCCACTATTTTTAAAAAAATTATTATTAATAGTAGTAGTAGTAGTAGTAGTAGTATTAGTAGTAGTAGTAGTAGTAGTAGTAGTAGTAGTAGTAGTAGTAGTAGTAGTAGGCCAATTACTGTTAGTATGTTTTTTTGTTGTTGTTTTTTTATAGTAGAGGGTTTTACGACACTCGAAAACTGCATAAGGTCGCATGAACGCCAAGGGGTGGGTGTCAACAGAGAAGTCTTTACTGGGAATCAGACTTACTCAGCTAACCTCTCTAGCTTCAACAGCACAAGGTCTGCTTCGACTATCAGGGCACCCCGGAAATAGCAGGTCACAAGAGAGTGACAAACATACAAAAGAAGTAGAGGAAAATGACAATAGTAAGGATTAGGAAAGAAAAAGCAGTAGTTCCCTGTTGTAGATCAGGCACAGTTATGAGCGTGACATGAATCAGCCCATTTACAATTCTACTGCGCTTGAACGAGAAATCAGGTTGAGAATATCTAATGTCTCCTATGAAGTTTCTGCACTATCTCGATTTTCACATTGCTTTGGTAAGCTCAGTTGGCATTATGCAGGACTAC